CCAATACCATCCCTCACACACACACACACAAAGACTAGCTTACACCCACAGAAATACATACCAATTAGACAAAGGTTTGGGCAGGATACCTCCATGTGAGGGTCAGGTTACAGGTCTGGGATACAAACCTCCCCATACTCCTTGAAAAAAGCTTGTAGTCCATATCTGAGGGAAGTTCATAGATAAGTATCCCAGCAACCATGACCCAGATGGGATACTCTGAGGCATATTCTTTACCACCTCTCAGAGTTCTCAAAAAGATTAAGTTCTAAGCTATCCATGATAATAATTTGTTTGATATACTATCTTTTTTTTTTTTTGAGACAGGGTCTTGCTAAGTTACCTAGGCTATCCTTGAATTTATGATCCTCTGCCTCTGACACCATACTGCTGCTTCAGCTAAATACATTTTAGAGATCATTTACTGTACTACATGTTATCCCTTTTTCGTACCATGTTGAACCAGACTCTTAAAACTGTCCTTTGTCTCAGTATAAATGTGCATGAGCACATGCATCACACACACATGCACACTACTCTGTATTAATTTTCTATGCTGCATAACAAATTATTGCAAATTTAGCAACTTAAAACCTCATATATTTATTATCTTACATTTTCTCCAGGTTAGAAGCCCAGGACAGCTTAGATCTATCCTCTACTCAGGGGTTTCACCAGACTCCAAATAAAGTGTCAGCTGGCTCCATGTTCTTGTCTGGAGCTCAGGGTTCTCCTCTAAGCTCATATGGTTGTTTGGAAGAATTCAATTCCTGTGGGTGTGGGACTGAGATCCCTCTTCTATTTCTGGCTATAGGTTGCTTTCAACCTAGAGGCAGCCACAAGTTCTTTGCTATGTGGCCCTCACCACCATGCAGTGTACTTCTTCAAAACCAGCAGGACAATTTCTCTCTGGTCTGATCTTCTATAACATGATGCAATCAAGGAGTGTCTAGCCTGTTACTGTGGTCATATTCTATTGGCCAGAAGCATGCACACCTACTGCATTTGAAAGTTTTGAACAAGATGGAAACTGTTCTTAAATTTTCTTCAGCTCCTTACCTTGTTGCTCTCTCATCAAATGTCTTCATTTCTCTCCTCTCTGCTCTTTCCCCAACCCCAAATCATTTATTTCTAATGCAGAACAATTTGTCTCCCTTTACTTCCTTTACTTTATCCCTTTACTCCTTACGCTCAAGGCCTCACCTTTTCCATCTGGCATATCAAGATTTTTTTTCTTTTTTTCTAAAGAAAATTTCCTTTCTTGGGAATTTCGGTGTCACTTTTTGGAAGATTGTTTTTTCTCTGTCTTTTTTTTTTTAACCAAAGATTATTTACAATTTAGTGAAAGAGACAGATATGACTCAAATAATAGCAGGAAGTAACTGAAGGGGAGGAAGGGGAGAGTGCTAAATATAAAAATAACTACTGATGTGATGGTGTTAGTAAGTGCAATTCTAAAACCTCTCTAGTAGTATTATCATTCTTCCCAGGGCCTAGATTTGGACAAACAGACTTTGCTGGGGATGCTCTTACATCTGAGGGTAGTTATTAGAAATTGGTGTGTGTTGACCAGTGTAACTTCACATCATGTACAACAGTAAGAATGGGATCCTAATTAGAATAAATTATGTTCCGTGTATGTATAATATGTCAAAATACACTTTTCTGTCATGTATATCTAAAAAGAACAAATAAAAAATTTTAAAAAGGAAATTGGTGTGGTGTTTCACCTTTTCTTGCTTTCTACTTTTAAGTAACTCTATCTTTTCTTTTATAGTTTTGTTTGTTTTTAAGTAACTTGAGAGTCTAGATCCATCTATAGACAGCAGATCAACTCTGGGCGCATTACTTAGACTGCCCGTCCCCTATCCTTCTTTACAAAAATGGATAAATTGGACAAGGCCATCTCTTGCTGTAGAGTGAGTCTACTGCTCTGTAATTTTCCTACCACTCCTACCAGACCTTCAGCTTGTAGAAGACAGATCTTGCTTTTATAATTCCCCAGCCTGCTTTTCAGTTTGTTTGTTTGTTTTCCAATTCCCAAAACAGCCATTTAGGATGGTGACTCAGTTCTCCTGTTCTTGAGACACACACTTGTGAGTTTTAGCTGGTGGGTGTGTACATATTGCAGGGGCTCCATGTAGGAGCACAGGGCAGAGCTTTATCTGAGGCAGGCCTGGGCAGCCATTGGTACAGAGTGAGGAATCCGGATCCCAGGACCCCAGAGGTGGTGCCAAATGAGGAGGGGCCTGAAGCAACCCCATTCAGCACAGGAGCCAAGAAAACTGGGCCACGCTGCTCAGAAGAGGACAATGCCATCGGAAATGAATCTGCCGAAATGCTTACAGGAAGCAGGGGCCATGGCCTTGGCTAAGTAAGGGTCTGACTGCCATCAGCAAGACAGGCAGTCTACTCCATTGTTGGAAGCCACATTATTCAGAGCTCAAAATTGGGCCCTGTGAGGAGACCCATAGGAAGAATTACAATCCCTACCTGGGAGAACCACCCAGCCTGAGGAGACAGCCACATGATCTGCAATACCTGACCTGAGAATTGGACAAGCAGACTAACAAGTGTAAACATATTTTTGATATTAAAGACATGGTAATATTGAGGCTGGGGATAGAGCTCAATAATAAGAGTGCTTGCCTTACTTACTTGCATGAGTAAGGCCCTAGGTGTGATCCTCAACAGTGCCAAAAAGAGGGAGAAAAAAATACATACATAATATTTATAATCAAGATATCCCTTTAAAAAAAATAGCCAGCATCATCAACATCAACAACAGACACACAGAGGGAAAAACCCAAAGAACACACAGAAGGATAATACAAGGTAAGTCAGGACAGCTGACATAAACATTGTCCTTAAATCAAAGAGCCCTCTCTTTATTAAGAGAGACAGGCACATAGCTGATGATTATAAGCTTCTACAAGTCTACCAATCTCAAAACCAACCAGAAAAGGGGTCGTAAAATTTTCATTCTATGCTCAGACTTAACCAAGGAAAGGTAGTACCTTTCTGTTTTTATTCACTTTCCTGTGAGAGAAACTCAAGGTCAATCCAACCTGCTAAGTCCAACCATATTTGCATTCCTCCAGGTGGCTCAGTCTCTACTAGGACAGCTTAAGCTAACTTCCCAATTTCTACCTCCAACCCCAGTTCTGTGCGAATAGGTGGGTGAGTATAGGTGGCATGACTAAGAAGACCTTGTAATAAGAAGAACAGACAGTGTCCACAGACCTATGTGGCATTCTCAGGATTCCCACCAGGTTGCTCCCTGCTGCCTCCCAGCCATCACCACTGGCATCTAAATCCCTGGATACTGTGGCCCTTTGCTCCATCTTCTGCTTTTTGCTCTTTACCCTCTCAGCACCTCTGAGTCTCTCAAGGGCTTGTGGGCACATGAGGATACTTGCAAATTCTGTGCAGGCATAAGGAGCCTAAGTATCACTCATAGGATGAGGAAAAACGGTGTTGAGAACTTAGATCCTTCTTGGTTTCCCTCTATCACATTAATTTTCCATAGCTCTTCAGGCTAAAACAGGTAGACTTCAGGCTTTCTACTTCCTGAAGATCATATCTACCTTTTACCCCCATTCAATAATTCTCAAGGCCAACCTATTACAGGCAAGTGTCCATTTGTCTATACCATAGAAGAACTCTGATTTAATTCACAGGCTGCTCCTCAATATGTCAAAGAGAAAGACAGAAGAAATTAGAATACCCTTTTGTCCTTTACAAAGACTGGCTCTTAAGCCTTTCATCTTGCTAGTCTCTCTAAAATATGATTTTAAAGGTCAGAAGCTAAATGCTGACTTTTTCTTTTGCTCTATGTACCTGCTGTAACAACAGTCTTCCAGAGGCAGACAGGTGCCTTGAGTTGTCTAGGGGAAAGTCATAGACAAGGAAATTCAAAATGAAAAGAAAAATCTTATTGGTGGATTTTAGAATACTTTTTGGAGTTCTTCCATGAAGTTCAAAATCAACACTTCCCAAATCTTCTCCCCCGGCTTGGGCACAGATGGTTTATGCAATGATGCTTCAGTCCCAAAAACTTGGAATAGTCAAGCTTTGTCTGATGCATAAAAAGAATAGGTAGAGGTGAACACCTGTAAATCCAATTACTTGGGAGGCTGAGGCAGGAGGATCACAAGTTCAAACCCAGACTAGGCAACTAATTGAGAGCCTGAGTCAAAATAAAATAAAAAGGTCTAGGGGTGTAGCTCAGTAATAGACAGCTTGCCTAACAAGCATGAGGTTCTGAGTTCAATCCTCAATACTGCTAAATGAATAAATAAATAAATTTAAAAGTATTTAAATGTTTTTTCTATAAAACAAAAACAAACAAACAAACAAAAAACTTGCCAGGCATTCTTCAGTACAAATATTCACCAATCCAACAATTTCTCCAAGGAGGCTATTGATTCCCCCATTTTATACATGTGAAATCAAAGGCTCAAAAAGGCATAAGCCCATCTCCAGATTGCACAGTTTATTAAGCATCTGTTTCACTGGAAGCCCTCAGGAGAAGGTGTGGCCACATGAGTGGGGTTAAGACAGAGCTAGGGTGTACAGCTCTGTGAAAGAAGGGCATGGAGAGGCGGCTGCACTGGTAACAGATGCCCAGGAAGCAGGCTGTAGGGTTATTACCTTCATCTCTGCTCTGACATGTTCTAGAACACTGGCTGAAGGCAGAGAAATATAAACAGAGAAGCTTCTGGAAAGGTTTCCCCAGAATCTATGTGATTCTATGATAGAGAGAATCCTAAGCAGGACGAGGACAGGGGTGAAAGTAACAGAATTCAAGCTATATTCCAATCTTCCTTTGGGGTAGAACAGGGCTTTTCCATTTCTTCAGCAATCTGGTGGAGTATTTCATTTCGCAGCATTGTAAACTCCTCTCCCTCCCTTTTCAGAGCTTATTGGAGGTCTGTCCTCCATGGACCCTCCTCCTCAGGAACAAGAAGTACGAGGTGGAGACAGGCTAGGTTGGGACACAAGGTCCAGCTGAGTTTGTGTTCCAGCCCAGTGCTCTCACAGAGCTCAGATCCTCATCTGCCCTGGGAGAGGGGCTCAGTGCAGACAAGCAAAAATACTGCTGCCCCCCCACCCAGCGCGCCCCCCACAATGGAACCTGCGCTGGAGATTATGTCCTAAGTAGAAACCCCCATCCAAACTGGGGATGTAGGGCCTGGAAACTAGAAAATGCCAGGTCTGAGAGAGAGGAAAGAACAAGCCCAGCAATACACAGAGCTCTGTGTATTCAGAGGGAAGTTGGCAGGGTTGTGTTCGGGCAGAGAAACTCCGAGTGGTACAAAGGGACGTGCCCAGAGTGGAGAAATCATGCTAATTGTCTGCACCAGAGCTGAAGAACGCCACCCAAAATGAAGAGAGAAAGGGGAGCCCTGTCCAGCGCCTCCAGGGCCCTGCACCTCGCTCCTCTTGTCTGCCTACTTCTGATTCAGCCAGGTAGGAGACCCAAAGGGTAAGAAGGTCTGGAGAAGGGACCCTGGGGCTTTCAAAGGAGAGGGAGGGGAGAGTGAAGGGCCTGAATGTCTTTGGGGTGGGAGGAGGGGAGAGAGCTCAGCGGTCGTGGGAAGCATCCCAGTGAATTCAGGCATTAGTGTTGAATGTATTTCTTCACTCCCTGTGCCTCCTGCACAGCCTCGCTGGCCCGCTACCCCCAAAGGCTGCATGACTTTGAAGCTCCCACGGCATTAGATGGAGGGCACTCTGCCACTTCTTATGGGATGACTTTCTGGCGTGGGCCAGTCCAACATTCTTTCCAAGGGATTATGGTGGGGCTTGGAGGGAGGGGCAGGGGAAATCTTGGTTTTGAGCCTCCTGAAACCCCTACTCCAGCTTCTGAGTATAGAACAGCATGGAAGATGAAAGAAGCTTTGGAGATAATAAGCCTCCTGCTTCAGGATAGAAATACCAGTCTATCCATAATTCACTCCTGGCCAGACACTTACTTCCTGTTGTGCCCCCTACCATCTCCTTGGAGAATTGATCTTATTTTAAATACCGTAGATATATTTATATGTACACACGCACACATGCACAATTCCAAAGAGCTGAGAAATGCACAACTTAGTGGAGCAAACAGATGCAAAGATCGTTTTAATCAAATGCAGGCAACACTGTGAGTCAGATATACAGATGATGCACAGGAATCAGAAAGGTCAGTCACTCCCATCCAGGAAGCTGGTGCTGGTGGTGCAGGATGAGGGTGGGGGAATATCATGGTGGTTTCCTGGTAGAAGGAATGTCTGCACTGAATTTTAAAGGATGAGAAAAATGGGTGGGAGTGGGAGTGGATATTATTGTAGGGAAAATGGGCAAAGGGCAATAGCTTGAAATAGCATCATGTGTTTAGGCACAGACTAGAAGTTCATCATGCTGGAGAGAAAAGTGTGAAATTCGTTAGAAAAAAAAATCTTTGTACCATATTCAGAAGCCTGGAATATAATCTACAAATGATGGATTGGGCAGGGGAATTAAGTGGCTTTTAATTAAAAGATGGGTTGGGTCGTATATACCTTTCAGGTATATTACCTGATCTTCAGGGGGCATTGGAGGGGAAACTAGAAGCAAATAAGAAAGAAAGCTTATTGCTAGCTTTCTATGGCAGCTATAATAAGTGCCATAAACTGAATAGATTAAACATCAGAAATTCATTGTCTCAGAGTTCTGAAAACCAGAAATCGAAGATCAAGGTATTGATGGGGTGATGCTCCCACTGAATGTTATTCCACTGTAAAAGTATACCACAATTTGTTTATTTATCTGTTCAGTTCGGGTTTTTAGGGTTTTTGTTTTATTTTGTTTTGGTGCCAGGGATTGAACCCAGGGGCACTTAACCACTAAGCCACATCCCCAGTCCTTTTTTTTTTTTTTTAAATTTTGAGTCAGGGTCTCACTAAGTTGCTTAGGTCCTTGCAAAATTGCCGAGACTGGCTTTGAACTTGCAATTATCCTGCTTCAGCTTCCTGAGCTGCTGGGATTACATGCATGTACCACCATGCTCAGCTATCTATTCAATTTTAATAAACACTTTGGTTGTTTCTAAACCAACCCAACCAACTCAGTCCCATTGGACTTATGAATACAGTTGTTAAAACATTCTTGTATATGTCTTTTGGTATACACATATCTTCTAGGGATATACCTTAGAGTAGAATTATTGACTTCTAGGGTATATTAGTACATTTTCCATTACTATGACAAAATACTTGAGGCTGGGTAACTTTATAAAATGAATAGGTTGGTTTAGCTCATAGTTCCGGAATCAGTTCAGCCCTGATGAGGGCATCATTGAGTATGGGAGGATAAAGAGGGAGAGATTACATGGTGAGACAGAAAGCCAAAAAAATGACTGGAGGTCCCATGGGAATCATGTTAATTCCTTTCAAGGGCACACCCCCAATTCCTAAGGATCTCCCAAAGGCTTCAATACTGTTTTAACATCACCACACTGAGGAACAAGCCTCCAAAACATGCACCTTTGAGGGAATGCTCTTCAACTATATCCAAATCATAACATAGAGTATATATAAATTTAGCTTTAGTAGATACAGCACATTTTCAAAAGTGGTGGTATCAATTTACACTTCCTCTACATGCATGAGAGTTTAGGTGACCCATATCTTCACTAACAATAGTATTTACTCTTTTTCATTTTGACCATCCTAGTGAGTATGTTAATGGTACTTTTATGGCTTAAAATTGTGTTTCCATAATAATTAATCAGGTTGAGATTTTTTTCATATTTTTATTACCATTTAGATATCCTTTTTGTGAGTGTCTATTTCAAGTCTTTTGCACATTTTTCTATGGATTTATCTGAATTTAAAAATATCATTGATTTGTAGGAGTTTTAAAATACAGTTTTAGTATGAGTCCTTTTATAAGATTAATGTATTGGAAATAACTTCTGTGGTATGGCTTGATTTTTCACTTCCTAAATGGTGAAATTATGTCTTTTAATGAACAAATGCTCTTAATTTTATGTGCCCAGTCTATCATTTGCTTCTTTTACTTTTGTGTCTTAAGAGATCTGAGTCTTCCCTCAAGTCATGGAGATATTCTCCTATTTTTTCTTTTTTAAATGTTGTTTTCCCTTTCACATTTAGATCTACATTCCATCTAGAATTGATATTTGTATAAGACGTGATGTGATGATCAAGTTCATTTTTTTTCTACATGGCCCAGAACTATTTATTGGAGAGGGAGGGGCTTTTCCTACTCCACAACACTCATAAATTGAGAGAGAAATTGCCATAAGTTGAGAAATAATATTTAAGTCTGTTCTCTATTCTGTTCTGTTATCTGTCTTGATGCCATATTACCAAGTAAACCTCATGGGTTTTGATTAGTATTGTATTAAATCATAGAACAGTTTGGGAGACAACTTAACAATAGTGATTGTTTTAATCCACAAACATAGTAAACCTCCATGTGTTATCTTAGTACATATCAGCCAGGTACATACTCCTGGACAACTACTTTTCTTGAGGAATAGATTTAAAAAACCGTGGCCTTTCTCTTTCTGGATCTCAAAGTCCTTCTTCATAGTTTCTGTTCCCTGTATTTCTCCTACATCCCTCAGTGATTGACACGTTAAATGATTTCACATTCTTGTGGTCCTTTGTAGGCTGCAACAGGATAATGACCTAAGAATAACACAAACATTTACAAAATAAGTGATGTACCTATACAGTAATAATAGAGGAGGGAGGTTGTTTTCTCAGGTCATCATTAATTAGTGAGGATATTAAAAACCAAAAGCAGAGCCTGGTACAGTGCATACACCTGTAATCCCAGCTACTGTGGGATACAGCTACATGTAATCCCAAAGCCTGAGGCAGGAGGATGGTAAATTCAAAGACAGACTGGACAACTTAGAGAAACTCTGTCACAAAATAAAAAAATACAAAGAACTGGGCATGTAGCTCAGTGGCAGAGTGTCCCTGGATTCAATCCCTAGTACTGAGAGAGAGAGAGAGAGAGAGAAACAAAAAACAACATATTTTTCCTTTTAGAAGACAGAGCCATGTGCTGCCTTAGATTATTATGTGCAGTTTTGACCCAGAACTACTACACTTTAAAAGGAAGATAATATAGTTGGCAAGAGCCCAAGCAGGAGTATCTATGATGGCTAAAGGGTTTGAGGGACTTTGTCATGGAGAATAGACCCAAACAAAAAATCCTTCCGATAAAAGGGACGTAACTGCTGTCGTCAGTGTTAGTATGGATGAGGTGTATAGAGAACAAATCCCCACTGGCACTTTTCTTAAAAGTTAAATTTAAGACAAACGCTGGTAAAAGGAAACGAAGGGAGTCCATAAAACAGAGGAGATGTTGATTCCCATAGGGGAGGAAGCTAAAATGGGAACTCTGTGCAGGTACATACTTTTTTTTTATATTTTGAAGCTTGGCACTCCTCCGTGTCACAGCAGGTCAAAATCCTACTTGAGGGGATGCCTCTGACCTAAGCCAACACAGCATTGTTTATGTTGATTGGAACAGCTTGCTGAGATGTTAATTTCCCTTTGTTCAGCCTCTGGTGGGAACGGGAGACTTTCTACATAATGATGCCTCAGAGACAATGATTGAAAGTTAATTGCTTCTACAGGTTGAATAGTTCTTGTCTCTTTTATTTCCACTCTGGATGGGAGTTGTTAGCCATTTCCTCATTTCTGTGTCCTGCTTTGGCTCTTGTCCCAGTTCTCTGTGTCCCTTGAAAGTTGTGGAACCCTGAACTTAACAGAATTTTGATTCTGGCTAGAGTTTTTGGAAAACAGTGTTTGTTCAGCAAAACAGTGTTTGTCAGCATCTGAGAAAGACTGCTCCATTCACTTACAAATGTGTGCATGCATCCCTTTGACTCAAGGGTACCCCCATGTTCGCAGGCATATGGAGGACCCCACCTAGATGAGGGTAAGGTCTAAGGCAATCCTTAGGCTGCAGCTCCCCCTATTTTTCCCCCGCCGAGAGTAAATCAAGTATAAATTGGGGGGGGGGGATCAGAATTGAGGGGGGAAAAACATCACAAAAGGGTTCCTGGAACTTTGAAATGGGATAGAAAAATGTAGAAGCCAGGGAAACTCAAGGGAGGCCAGAGATTACAGAAGAGAAAGAAAAGTACCTTCCAGTTGTCCTTGATACCTGGAATGTCATTGCCCGGCCTCCTGGAAGAAGGAAATAAGAAACATCAAAGTTTGGTGCTTGAGATCTGTATTAGTCAGTTTTCTATTGCTATAATAAAATAAGTGAGGCTATGTATTTTACAAAGTTCATGACTTTGGAGACAGAAAGTATAAACAGCAAGGTGCCAGCTCTGGTAGCTGCCCCTCCCCAACTATATCATATATCATAACATATCAAATCAGAGAGTATATGCAAGAGGGAGAGATCACATGGTAAGAAGAGAAGCCAGAAAGTGAGGAGGAGTTAGCTTTATTCTTTTGTAACAACTATTCAGAATTAACTCAGGGTCCCACAATACCTACTTTAATCCTTTCCAAGGTCTGTACCACCAAAGAGCTATCCAACTCCCACCTATTAAAGGTTCACCACCTCTTAATACTGCCACACTGATGATGAAGTATCCAATGCATATACCCTTGTAGGACAAACTACATCCAGACCACAATGGGATCATTACACAGATTTGCTGAACTCTGGGAGGTCTCTGCATGTATAAGCCTGATGTATATACCACAATGTTTTGGACAGGGTCTTGAGTAAGGCAGGGATAGGTGCTCCTCAGCCATTTGATCACCAACCACCACTGTGGCATTTAGTGAAGCTCCACGATTTTTCTCAGGACCACCTCAAGTCAAAAGCCTGCATACTAGAGCCTATTTGCCTACTCAGGGAAATATTAAAGCTTGCTTTTCCAAATCAAGCAGATCTGGGACCTCACAGTTGCTAGGCAGGGAATACCATTTAAACAATCACAGAAACTAGAAGTTGGAAGAAACATTATGGATCATGTGACCAAATATATTTCAGTCTGAGACACAGAGACCCAGGACTTCCTACTAGCTCCCCAAGTTATCAGGGAAGACAGAGGTCAGAGCCTCACCACCCCTTCTACCAAAGTAGGTGAACTTGAACCATATTTCATTTATTTTCATTTTTATGTGAGATTTTGTAGGAACTTTTACAAAAAAATACTTGAAAATAGTTAATTTTGTTCATTCTACTGTCCCAAAATTAAGACTTCCATTCAATAACAAGTATACAGCATTCAGATACTCACATCTATGGGAGCTGTAGTCATTAGAACCTGTGAGACTATCTAGCCTACTACTCATATTACCTCTGGGGAATCTGATCCCCAAAGAGAAAGTCCCGTAGGTCAATAAGCCTCAATCACTGAGGCCTAATCTTGTGTTCTCGCTATATAACGATAAATGATACACATATTGTACTTTTATAATCTTAAGAATATGATAAGGGAATTATTGTTATTCTTATTTTATAGAAGAGAAGAATGGAGGCTTAGAAAGATTGCTTGCCCAAATCCACACAGCCAATAAGTGATTAGGGCCTAGTCTTGCAAGGTCCTTCTGATTCCAAACTCTTTGTTCTATCCAGCCAAATCCCTCCTATGTAGGGAATACAGATTGGGCCAGAGTTTGGGTGAATTCCCCAAACTACTAACCCAGTTGCAGGATTGTTCTGCACTAGAAGGTCTAGGAAGATACTCCATGTGTCTGGAGTAAGGATAGGGGAAGTTTTGGTATGACTAGGAAATGGTAATGTTGTCTTCAGGCCCTTAAGCCCCCTCTTTATTGACACTGTCTTAGGATAAACTCCGTTCCTTATGAATCTATGTTCCCATGATACCTCCATCTCCCTCTCCCACCATCCCCCTCCCCGATCAAGAAGATCTGACAAATTCACCTTGATGTCTAATGAACTACAAACCTCATGGGGTAGGGATTTCTGTCTGTCTTGCTCTTGGCTTATCCTAAAGTCATAGGAGGTGCTCAATAAAGATTTCCTCAAATGAAGCACATGGAGTGTGAACTAGGTGGAATCTTCTTGAAGAGGGAGGCAATAAGGAAAAGTGTCAGAGAGGCAGAGGGCCAGATGAAAGAAGAATGAAGGGCCTTGGGAGGAGCAGAGGGACACAAGAGTTCCTGCGGGAGAAGAGATGATAGTAAGAAGCAAGGACTAGCAGCGAGTGACAGTCCCAAAGGGGTGAGGCTTTGGGAGATCAGAGAGCTTAAAGGTGGGAGTGGGCTAAGTAGCTGAGAGCCTTACTCTGTATTCTTCACTGTGGCCTCTGTTCACAGACCCCCTGGAGGGGGTGAACATCACCAGCCCCGTGCGGCTGATCCATGGCACAGTGGGGAAGTCAGCGCTGCTTTCCGTGCAATACAGCAGCACCAGCAGCGACAAGCCTGTAGTGAAGTGGCAACTGAAGCGGGACAAGCCTGTGACCGTGGTGCAGTCCATTGGCACAGAGGTCATTGGTACCCTACGGCCTGACTATCGAGACCGGATCCGGCTCTTTGAAAATGGCTCCCTGCTTCTCAGCGACCTGCAGCTGGCTGACGAGGGCACCTATGAAGTGGAGATCTCCATCACTGATGACACCTTCACCGGGGAGAAGACCATCAACCTCACTGTCGACGGTAAAGCGTTCTGGCAGGGAAGGAGGCAGGGCAGGAGACTGGGACTGGGGCAGCACACTAGCTAGACCCAGCAAAAACCAACACAAAAGGTCTTGAGGAGCTGAGAGAGAGCCACTGGTTGTTACAAGTTAAACACAGGCACAGCTAACATGGATAGAATCCTTCTATGTGCCAGAAACTATATTAAGTGTTTTGCATGTGTCAACTCATTTAATGCTTATAAAAATCTAAGGATAGTTAATGTCATTCTCCCAGATGGAGGAAACTGAGACACAGAAGGGTTGAATAACTTGCCCAAGTTAACAAAACTAATAGAGCCAAAATTTGAACCCAGTTAGTTGGGCCTCAGTTATTCTAATAAAATATTTTCCAGGTGGAGTCAGTTTAAGACATGAAAACCCAGTGGTTGCTAGATGCAGTGGCACACATCTAGCAACCACTGGGTTTTAAACACAGCTTCTTGGGAGGCTGACATGGGAAGATGGCAAGTTCAAGGCCAGCCTTGGCAATTTAGCAAGACCCTGTCTCAAAACAATAATATAAAGGTCTGGGGACATAGTTCAGTGGTAGAGTGCCCTTGGGCTCAATCTCAAGTATCTAAAAAGAAAAGCCAAAAACAAATACACACAAAATACCAGTGGTGATGGAAATGTATTTGGAAACAGGGATAAAAGCAGACACCATGGCTACCTCATTTAGCATTGTTTTCGCCTGGTCCTACTAGGTATCTAATAGTGAATGAATGAATGAATGAATGATGGAAGAGAACTTGCTGATGATTCCTGAAAGGTCTACTTAGCCCACAGAATGAGTTATGGTATGGTGTGTTGGAAGACAGAGAGTATAGAAGGAAAACGGAAAAACTTTTTAACCCATTACTGTTTCCTCCACCTTTTGGGGCTCAGTGCCCATTTCAAGGCCACAGGTGTTAGTGGCTTCAACCACTGTGCTGGAGCTTAGTGAGGCCTTCACCCTGAACTGCTCCCATGAGAATGGCACCAAGCCCAGCTACACGTGGCTGAAGGATGGCAAGCCTCTCCTCAATGACTCGAGAATGCTCCTGTCCCCCGATCAGAAGGTGCTCACTATCACCCGCGTGCTCATGGAGGATGACGACCTGTACAGCTGTGTGGTGGAGAACCCCATCAGCCAGGTCCGCAGTCTGCCTGTCAAGATCACCGTGTACAGTGAGTCTCTCTGCCCCCCAGAGGCAGGTGCCCACTGACAAAGAACATCCTAGAGAGTGATCCTGGAGGGAGAGGGAACAGAGATTGGGTCAGCTATCCATGGAGAACAACAACAGGTGGGAAGAGGGCTCTATGCAAGTACCACTACCAGCTAACCATGCTACCTGAGGGTCCGTCTCTTTTCCTTCCACTGCTCTCTGTACCACATCTGCTGCCCCTCTGAAGTCTCTCCTCTTCTGTCTACACATAGGAAGAAGCTCCCTGTATATCATCTTGTCTACAGGCGGCATCTTCCTCCTTGTGACATTGGTGACAGTCTGTGCCTGCTGGAAACCCTCCAAAAAGTCTAGGTAACTCTTCAAGTTCCACACCATGAGCTCCCTGGTCCATTAGTCCATTCCAACCTCAAGCTCTATTATTTATGTAATAATAATAATTATTATTGGGTGAATTTCCCAAACTACTGACCCAATTGCAGGACTGTTCTGCACTGGAAGGTCTAGGAAGATACTCCATACGTCTGGGGTAAGGATAGGGGAGGTTTTGATATGACTAGGAAATGGTAATGTATAATAATAATAATAGTAATTTATTATTATTATTATTATTATTATTATTATTATTATTAAGATTGAACCCAGTGGCACTGAACCATTGAGCCACTTCCCCAGCCCTACTTTTATTTTTTATTCTGGAGAGGCCACTGCTCCCTGCCTATTTTCTTAAGTCTCTCTACATGACTTGCCTACCAGGATTGTGCACCTCTTCCCAGGAGATGTGCTCTTCTATTATGCATGAATCTGCATCTTGTGCTCACCACTTCTGACCACCCAGCACTATTCACAATAGTTTCACTTGCTGAGCATCTTCTTTGGGCCAGGCATTATGGCTGGTATTAGCAAGCTACCTTTTAAGTTTAATTACCTACAGTTTACAGATAAAGACACTAAGACTCAGACTGGACTAATGGCTTGCCTGGTCAGAATGCTAGTGACAGCCTCAAGATGCAAATCTAGCTGTGACCCATTTAAAAGCTCATGGACTGCCTCCTATTCCCACCACACCCATCTTCCTGTCATAAGGTTTCTTTCATGGCCTTCAGAACCATCTTTTGGTACTCCCCATATTTTCCTGCTCCTATTCAATACCTCTGTTTTTGGTGGGGGTTGGACTGCTTCATAGGAAGAAGAGGAAGTTGGAAAAGCAAAACTCCCTGGAATACATGGATCAGAATGATGACCGCCTAAAACCAGAAGGTGAGTTCCTAGCCACTCACTCACCAATGCCATTGGCACTCAGAGCAGTAGGGTGCTGGGAAAAGGCAGAAATGGGCAACAAGAAGCCAGCTCTGCACAACTTCCTCCACCAACTGCTCCAAGACTTCAGAGTAGGGAGAGGCACAGCCAAGGTAGGACCTCAAGTATTCAGATGTGTTGGTCGAGGTTGTGGTGGGTCTTGACTAGCCACAAGGGAAAAAGAGCATAGCAGGCTGGTGGAGAGGGTCTGTACCTGGACAGCCACCCCATTCTTTCCCCTGTGCAGCAGACACCCTCCCACGAAGTGGAGAACAGGAACGGAAAAACCCCATGGCCCTCTATATTCTGAAAGACAAGGTGAGCAGCTCTGGGGTGGTTGCCCCATCCCATGCAGTGAACTCCTACCACATTCTCGAGATCCTTACCATATTCGTATACCTTTATAGTACTTGGAATACTTGTGAAATCTTTGTGTCATGCCTGTTCTAGAGATTGAAAAATAAGGCTGAACTGGGTGAAATGATGTACACAGTATTAAACAAGTAAATTAAGTAGGAGCTATCGATTTCAAACGTAGGTCTTTGGACACCACTTCTGGAGATTTCCCCATTATTCCACGACTACGCCCCAGGCTGTCCAAGACAGATGGAAAGGGGAAAATAAAGGGACAAAGCATTCACGCACGTCAACATTTCCTGAGCACCTATGATGTGCCAGATCCCATGCTAAGTGTGAAGTGTTCCAAGAAAAACCAAATCATGTATGCCGCCTTCCAGGGATTAAGGGTGTGGAGGAAACTGAGACTCCATCTTGGTAGCCCCAAGCCCTCTTAACTCCCAGATTGGGCCAGCTGTCCTCTGACTCCTGCAGCGCGTGTCCTTGCAGGACTCCCCGGAGCCCGAGGAGACTCCCTCTCCAGAGCCTCGGAGCGCGACAGAACCCGGCCCTCCGGGTTACTCGGTGTCGCCTCCCGTGCCGGGCCGCTCGCCAGGGATGCCCATCCGCTCAGCCCGCCGCTACCCGCGCTCCCCAGCGCGCTCCCCGGCCGCGGGCCGAACACACTCGTCGCCACCGCGGGCTCCGAGCTCGCCAGGCCGCTCGCGCAGCGCCTCGCGCACTCTAAGGACTGCGGGAGTGCACATAATCCGTGAGCAAGACGAGGCCGGCCAGGTGGAGATCAGCGCCTGAGCCCCGCAGGGACCTCGGCAACGCGTCCTGCCCCTGAAGCTTACTGCCTGGGGTGCGGGGCCGGAAAGCCCAGGTGCCCTGGGCCAGGGCAAAAGGGAAGGCTGGGCGGGGAGGCAGGTGTACTGGGTGCGGAGGTACGTGAGCATGCGCAGATGGGGGTTGGTCGGCGCAGAACGGTGAAGGTTGGTCTGAGGGTAAAACTCGGTTGCGTTTGCTCTGGATTTACTGGCTGTGTTCTCAGTGGGTGTGAGTCGTGCCCTCTTAGGACCATATAGATAATTACATTTCTGGCCCAATTCCCGAAAGGGTCTTATGAAAACTAACAATAGTAACCTATCCCTCATGACTGTCCTGTGCTATTTCTTGGGAGATCTTTTGATTTCCACCCACCTCCCTTTCCTCCAAAAGAGCGCCTGATGGCGCGCTTTTTTTTTTTTTTTTTTTTTTTTTGACCAGCCCAGATTGGAGAGGCAATTTGCCCAAAACGCATGACAGTCCTTAATTAAGAAGTCCGATGGGGGGCAGGGAGTCTGATGATGGTTCCTGGTGTGTACAAGGGCAACTCTGAGCACGGAGGAAGCATTGCAAAGGTAGCATCTTAGAGCACGGCCTCTGGGTGCCTGATTCCTGGGTCCCTGAAGTTGGTGAGGAAGAGTGGAGGAGCCCAAGTACACTCCTTTGACCCCGGACCTGAGGCTTAGTAAAGGCAAAGCACTCAAGCCTCGCGTGCTTGGCCTCTTTCCAAACCTCCCTCAGCAGAATGCCATGCCAAACATTCTTTCTGTTCTTGTTCATGAAAATAGGAGACGGGTGGGTTCATTCCTATAGATAAGTACATGCTCACTCCTCTGACCCAGTAGCTATACGAAGTGGGGTTTTTAACACTTCACACTCGGCCTTCTGCCTGACTTCCTTACAAAACAAGCCTTTCAAACAATCATCATCCAGGAAGGTTCTTGAGCTCCCTCCAACTATTAGAGAATAAGATTCTTATCTACAGAAAAAACGGGGCAGGGAGGAGGTGAGGAGGGGTGAAGAGGAGAAGCTTGTTGCTTCCCACCATGTCAGAGCAACAGCGATCCAAGTCTTGTCCTCCTGCCCCGCCTACCTGGCTCCCAGATGCTCAGATCCCAGTCACTGGACAAGGCAAACTCCTTAATCATACTAACATCTGAATATAGAGAAGCTGAGCCACTGTGTAGCCAGGCCGTGCCCAGGCCACTGCCTCTTAGAACAGTTTGAGAGAGAGAGACAATAATAATCTACTGTGTGAGGAGAGAAGACAGTGAAAAAGATGAAAGAGAAGGAGGCATTCTCCTGGGTATTCTGCCTTCTCCTCCCTAATGATCTGAGGGGCTCTAGCATCCTCTGCCCCTTCCAACTCCTAAAATCCAGCTCTGACTCTCCACCATCCCAGTCCCAAGATCCCTATACCCACGACCTTCACCCAGGGGCACACTTTGCCCTAGCCCCAAGGGCAATAAGATTTCTTGCTCCTCACTTCTCACCTCAACAAGGTTCCTCTTAGTTTCCTGTATCTGTGCACTTCCCCAGGCTCATGTGAGCAGGTGTGTCTTTGCAGCTTCCCTTAGCCAGAACCCATCCCTTTACCTTCCCCAGTGCCTCATCCATCAGGAGATAATGCATGTAGAGGAAAATTGCTTAGGTAGGTGGGAAATGCAAGACTTGAAGAAGGGGGTACCTGCTGGTCAGCCTTGAGACACAGGGATGGAGGTTAGGATGGGATGAGAGCACACCACACCCTGGTGCTGAATCCTTGAGGGGCCGGCTTGCCAGGTTCAAGCCAAATCTGCCTTAAATTGGGAGGGGGATAAGTAAGGAAGTATTTTTTTGTTTGTTTGTTTTTGTGTTTGTGTTTTGTTTTGATCTTCATCTTTGTATTACTAGCATCTAGCAGAGTGCCTAGCACATACTGGATGCTCAATAAACTTTTGATGAAATGACTTTATTCTGCGTAATCAAGGAGAACAAAATGAATAACATATATTTCCTTTTTCTCTTTTCTTCTCTTTCATCATTCTTTACCCTCTTTTCAAATCCCAAATTATCTACTTCAAAATTATCACTCATTCTTTCATTCATGTGTTTTTCATTTATTCAACAAATATTTATTTATCTAGCATGGACTAGACCCTGTACTACAGAATAGGGCAAAATGGCATAACTATGCCATGGCCTTTACCCATAAGAAAATCTCATGGAGAAAGACAGATAAGAAAGTAGAATATTATAATAAAGTGTGTAAGATGCAATGACACAAGGAGATCCAAGTTGCTCTGGAAACGTGGGAAGGTCATCCTACCCACATTAGGTGTTGTCAGCAAAGATATCTTGGAGAAAAACAAGTCTGAGCTTAGTCTTAAAAGGATTAGTTAGCCAGTCAGGTTAATAAAAAGGATGAGAGGACACATTTCAAACAAAGGGGGAAGCAAATATAAAAGCTTGGGAAACTGTCTGGTTGTGCATACCTGTAATCACAGTGACATAGGAGGCTGAGGCAGGAAGATCTAAATTTGAGGCCAATCTCAACTTAGTGAGACTCAGTCTCAAAATAAAAAATAAAAAGGACTAGTACCAAAAAAGGGTAAAAAGTTGTGGGGGGTGGGAATAAGACACATAGAGAATTTAGGGTACTAAGCCATGGCAGTGGATAAGATTCTTTTATGAGGCTGTATAAAGTGGAAAGTGAAGAAGGCTGAATATATTCCTCTAAAGACATCATATGTGAAGATGTTAAAAGGACCTCACCAATAAGGCTAAAAAGACATAGCCCCTGAGATAAGAGGAAATATAGGAGATAGCGGCATCACACAATCAAAGAAGAGGGTTTCCAGAAAGAAGGAGCATCCAGGACTGCAGAGTGGGGGGAGGAGGGTCACATATGAAAAGGAATTAAAAGTGTTCACATTAGGAGGAAAGGATATAGCTAACCAGTAGAGTGCTTGCCCGGCAGGCAGGAGGCCCCTAGTTTGGTTCCCATCACCACAGACATACACATTAAAATTACCACATTAAATTTGTCAGCAAGGGGATCATTGATCAATTTAGCAGTTTGATCAATTGATCAATAAGTAGTTTCAGTCATGTAGTGGGAGTTAGAACTAGATTGCAATAGATGAGAAGTGATCCATATGCGGTTCTGCTAAATACCTGAGAGGTCTTTCTGTTTCAAGGTCTTGATTAAACTAAATTTGTTTTGTATTATTGACCTTTGAGAGATGGGGGAAATTTCCCAGAGGCCAGAAACAAAACAAAATTAAGAAGTACAGCAAGTTCAGAGTACTTTGTATTTATAAAATGTGGGATTCAGGGGCTGGAATTGTGGCTCAGTGGTAGAACGCTTGCCTCTCAGCACCACATAAAAATAAATGAATAAAATAAAGGTCTATCAACAACTAAAAAATAAGATAAATAAATATTTTTTAAATGAGGGATTCACCTGGGGAATATGTTCATATTGTCATTGGAATGGAAGACTAGACTTTAGCAATAGCAAGATGGCAAAGCAGTTGGGTTTTTTAATTTTTTTTTTATGGTAGTGGTGGTGCTGGGAATTGAACATAGCACCTCAAACATGCCAGATAAATGCTCTACCACTTAGCCACATTCCCTGCAGTATAATGGCAAGGTGGGAGAATCAAACTAAGTCTCCTAGATTAAGATGGAATCCAAAAAGGGGTCCCTAGTTGGCATCATCTCACATTCTTAACAAATAAAAATACACACCCTCCCTGAAGAAAAACTCGTAAAATTTTCACAGATTAAGACCAACCAAAAATAAATTACAAGTAAAGGTCATTAAACACACAAGGAAACAAATCACTATGAATGAGCATCAGAAGATATAAGAGGCAATAGATTTAAATGGCTGAAGCCTTGAGATATTGAAATTATCAGAGAAACTAATTATGGAATACTTAAAGAAATAGAAGACAAAATTACAAAAAAAATGAACAAGCAATAGGATACTATAAAAAGTGATCAAATTTGAAAAGGAATAATAATGAACCTTTATAAATTAAAATATAAATAATGAAATACGAATGTAACTGAAAAGGTTATATAGCACATTTAGTTATATTTTATAAATATGACTAAAGAGAGGTCAGTTAACTAGAATGAGTCTGAAGAAATTATTCAGAATAAGGCACACAGAGACAAGGAAATAAAAAATACTTTTAGAAAGGGGTTAAGGGTATTGTATGTATAATGAAAAAGTGGTACATTTAATCAAGACCTCCAAGGAGGAAACAGAAATAATGAAAGGAAGGCTATATTTTAAATTTAGTGAATGAAAATTTGCTAGAACTCATAACAAACAAAAATACCTACACAGGAAGGTTAACAAACAAGAAATATAAAATGATGTCTACATCTACACAACATGTACTAAAACTAGGTTACATTAGACACAAAAAGAAAAATCTTAAACAGAAAAGTGGATCTTGTACATTTAGAGGACAATAATGGTGAAAATCATCAGGAAGTAAAATAGTCATCAGGAAGAATAATATCTTCAAAGCAAAAATAACTGGTATTGTACTAACAAAACAAATTTTCAAATGTGAGAATAAAATAAAGATAATATTTTAAAAATAGGAGTTTATATTAACAGTATAGGAACTTCTAATAGACATATATGACAAGAACAAGAAAAAATATTACAAAAGAAAGGTTTGGGCCCGCCACACTGAGGCCAGGAGTTCTGGAAGAGAGGCCTGCCCACTACACCAGCTGCCCAGAGATCCAGAGAAGAGGCCCACCTTCCCCCCAGAGATATTTGGTGAGCCACCTCACCCTGTGATTCCTTATTCACCACAGCATGGCTCCACAGCCCAACATCAAGGTATGTATAGGCTTGAGGCTGCCACTGCCACGAAACGGGGATATCGCTGCTTCTATTAAGGGACAACAATAAAGATGTGGTAAGATGTCACCAAGGTACCTATGGGCCTGGATGCACCAGAGGTTTCTCTACTAGAGGTACTAACAGTTATTCTGTTGCTGAGGAAACAGGGAGTCTTGCATGAGGTTCCCTATCTCTTGTTTCTCCCACTAACAGCCAACTTCTTATGCTTACCCTCTCACTACTCGTATAATCTAATACCTCCGTGTTCTCACATCCTACCTCATAAACATCTCAGCCAACCCTCCAGAGCCCCTTCTACCATTAGAAACTGTACCATTACACAAACCTATTAACTATATGGTAGAAGATAACTGAACTCATCATTTCTGATTATAGTGACGAAACTGTAAATGTAAAAATAGAAGCTAACTGATATATGGCTGCACACTGGGTACATTGAATGCTGTAATATTGATCTCTCCCTTAAAAGTGAGGTATTGGTAACTTATAGGGACACCAAAAGACAATAGAGCAGAAGCTGTAATACCTTGGATCTACAAGGCAAGAGAGAAAGACT